CTAAATTGGCACTGACACGAGTAAGGAAGGCAGCCAAGAAAATGGAAAAGAGAATTGGTGCCAGTACACATCCTTGTTTTACCCCCGTTTGGATGGGGAAGAACTCAGACTGGGTGCCATTGTACAGGGCACTGCCGTTCGTTCCATCGTGGAGTTGCCTTACAATGGCGATGAATTTTGGTGAGCAGCCAAAACAGCTGAGGGTCCGCCAAAGGGCTTCCCTGTTGACCAAGTCAAAGGTTTGGTAAGGTCGATGAAGGCCATGTACAGGTCATGACGCTGTTCTCTGCACTTGTCCTGTAACTGGCGGGCAGCAAAGATCATGTCAGTGGTGCCACGTGATGGTCAAAAGCCACATTGAGAATCTGAGAGAAAGTTTTCTGCCTCAGGAAGAAGTCTGTTTAGGAGGACTCTCCCTTGTTCTTTCAAATATTGATGATGGAGGCGTCTTTTAAGAGTGGGATTGAGGGTTGTTTTGCCAGTCACTTATAGCAGCACATTTAACATCGACGACTACGTTGATTTCCGGGTCATTTTCATCAAACCAGTCCTGGTGTATTCTTTCGATCTGGCCAAGGGTCTCTGCGGGTTTTGTCAAGCTGCTATCTGAAAGCATGTGCTACCGTTGGATCCTCCAGATGCTTAGTGTTAAAACATCTTCTGGAGGCATGTTGTCTTTGCTGTTTTGGGGCGACGTGAAGTGAGAGCTTGGATCTGATGAGCTGTTGATCTGCATCACAGTGGTCTGAGCCACGCATGGCTTGGATGATGAGAACATCTCGGCGATCTCTTTCTCTGCCTAAACAAGGTGTTGGTGATGGTAAGGTTGTGTGCAGCACACTTACTGAGGAGTAGGCTGTTGGGATTACACTTGCCTACTCCGTTCTCCCTGTGATTCCCTGACATATGTCAGCACAACCTTATCTTCTCTGGGGAGAGAGGTTAGCACACACACACACACACACTACATCCTTGACCACCGTCAAAACCTTTCAGGCACTGCTCCTGCTACGCAGTTGCCCCCCTTGGGCCATGTTGGCCCATTCCCCAAGTCCCTCTCCCCGATCTATCTTCACCACCGGGATTTCAACATAATCAAAAGTGAAAATTTCGTTTCGGAAAGAAGTGGGATCAATGTTGAACAGTGTTTAAGCTAGTGAATTCAGCACTAGACAGTACCAGCGAGAGCAGTGATCCACCAGTGAGATAAGCACCCCTGGGAACCAACTACCATCCTCTGACCAGGCGGTGTTAATCAGTCCACCCTGGGAACAACAGTGGGCCGAGTTAACACAACACCACCTACCAGAGAGTGAGGTACTGTGACACCACCCCACACCACACGGTGTCTCATGACCACGTGAGGTCCTTCATATTAACACCCGAGGACGAGTCACTATACCACGTGAACACTACAGCACCCGATGTCTCCATGACCACGTGAGGTCCTTCATATCAACACCTATGGACGAGTTACTGCACCACGTGAACACCACAACACCCGGTGTCTCCGTGACCACGTGAGGTCCTTCATATCAACACCCATGGACGAGTTACTGAACCACGTGGCCTACGTGACCTCACACAGTATGGCAAGAGACCAGCCCGGGCCATCAACTGCAAACTCTAATAATTTGTATGTTCAATTCATGTTCCTTCTCCTTTCAGTAATGAAAGCTATTGTTAAACGACCCACCTACCCCATGTCTTTGTATGTAATAAGTCATTTTTGTCTAATGTATATTTTCAGCCTTCGGGCTGCAAAACTTTTTCAATAAACCGTTAATTATTATTAATATTATTACACACAAACTAAAAAAATTATCGTACCAATCCTGAATTGAACTTATTAAAAGCCACCTAACCTAACCAAACTTCTCCGTCAATATTACAATGAAGTTAATAAGGTATAAGCTTGGTTACCAGTAATGTATCAGTTCAGTAATAAATGACAACAATCACTGACATAAAATTACCTTTGCATTTTGCTGATGTTTTCTTTATCTTAAGGTATTTAGGTACTTCAGCGACCAGGGTCTTTAAACATACACGTGGGTCAGTTTTTACACTGCACAACAACTTTTGAAAATTACCAAAATTTTGGACTATTATCTAACCAATCTTTGAGATCGCGTGACGATTAGGCATCCCAGCATGTTTTAAGTTAGGTTAGGTTTGACTAGGCTAGATAAGTGAGGTGAGGTTAACATTTGTAATCATCAGGCGCAATATACCAGGGTGCCTAATCTTCCGGTGATCCTAAAGATTGATTAAATAACTCTCCAGGACAATCTTTACAAATGTGATAAAACCTGTTTCAGGTATATTCCCGATGAATGAGTCCCATGTTGGAGCAAACAATCAAGTTATTGTGCCTTTATAAACCAGCACAACAGAATGCCATATATTAACAGATATAAGATAGGACAAAGTACATTAACAAATCTTCGCCCAACAAAAGCACTTCAGCTTCGGTGTCCCTGTATCAAGTCATGACTGTTCTAAGAATTCTATAATGACAGAGATGTTGTAAAGCCAAGACAAACATACACACGTTGTACCTGAGCCCAGGGTTATTGTACAAGCACTAATACGGTATCTGTACAGGTTACAGATCAATATTTTGACGGTTGAATGGTAAACTAACCTAACCTAACCTAGTCTAACTAACTTATGGATGAATAAATCAGGTTAGTATAGTTCTCCTGTTCTTAATACTTAATGCTGTACTAGTACTAAAAATAACAATCTAAATCATAGAATACATTTCTAAATCTAAATAACATAATTATCCTGACAGATTGGTAATTTCCATTTCAGATATAGATGCATGCAATAGTGTAAATAATTTCTGGGTAGGAATGATGAGTTTAGCAGGGGGGGGGGGGTAGAGGTTGATGGTGGCAATACGCCGTCAGCCAGAGCCAATATTTAAACGTCAGGACAGTGCCAACGATGTGAGGGGTGGCGGCGAGCATCAGGTGGTCGGGGGAGGGGAGCGGCAGAACAGTACTGTGTTCCCTAGGTTCATTGGTCTGAATATTAGTTTACATTAAGCTGGGTTACGTTATGTTAGTCTGAAAAATTTAAGTTGTGACACGTTAGTTTAGGTTACGTATCGCTCATTAAAATTAGTCTTTTTGGCTATGCTAGTTTAGGTTAGGGTTACGTTACGTCAGTTAATTCAGTTGGGTAGTTTAGCTTACGTTACGTTAGATTTGGTGAGTTGTTAACAGTTAAGGTTAGAAGTTGTGACCAATATACCGTCTTAAGATAAAGTCATATCTGGTGAAGCATGGAAAGATTGACAAGGAACGTAAGAGATAGATGATGTTGGACGTAAAGGAGGTAATGAATAAACGAGAGATCTAATACTGAGAAGAGGGAACTAATGTGAGTTACTGGGAGGGAAAGACGGAATAGGTAAATCAGAATGAATGGTGTGGGGGGGAGGGGTTAAGGACGAAGCCATTGACGTGTGAACGAGGTTAGCAATGACAGGCAGAAGAATCTTGGCAGTGTGTGAGATAACAAGGAGGAGCACGTAGCCTAGGCTATAAACACACGAGATATATCTGGGTGGTAGCTATACACCTTATTAAATACAACGTCAATATATGAATATTCCTGGTGTCCAAAAACACTGTATTTACATACACTATTTAGTTTATTTAATTTTATACGTGAAGACCTAGATATGTTTTCGTTATAGAATCTTAAATATGTCATAGGCGAACAATTGTACGCATAAGAGTTGATACATTTCTTTCTCATTAAGTACAACGACTACGTTTCATAAGAACGAGCGAAGGATGATACTGAAATACTTATTTAGCCAGAAAACATACAGATACAGAGTGGATAATAATACAATATTAACATGGCTGAGCCAGTTGAGAGCCTGAGCTCTCTTGAAGTCACCTGATATATACTGTACATTTATCTCAAGGAAGTATTATGTAACATTTAGCATGGTGTTAATAAGAACATATCAGAATGTTACCACGGTTATCACTTTGTTATTTATTTATTATATTCATTTATTTATACATTTTTATTATAAGTATATTCAGTATATTCAGTATATATATATATTTACAGTGGGGTTGATATACAATAATATGATAAGGGAGGGAAGCAATACAATCTGGGTTGCATTAAGGTGGAACAAGAGGTCAGCTGTCAGTATTATGTCCTGTCGGCAAATAATAATTGCAATGGTAATTTCTGCCTATATAAATGACAATTTCTGATATAATTGCTTTGGTAGAACAATAAAGGTAGGAATATAAAGTAGATATGACAAAAATATTAATACTTAGACATTAGATATATTTTTTAGAGATGATTTACAGGAAGGGAGCGTAGTCTTTGCTCGGATGGGTGGGGGTAAGTTGTTCCACACCTTCCCACCATATTTTATTGAGGTCTGGGACTGAGAGGAGCGCGTGGGGGGTGGTCTTAGTAGCTACGGGTGTCTTAAGTTGTATCTCTGATTATTCTGGAACTGGAAATAAATATTGTCAATCAAGCGATTGACAGATTTGTAAACAAATAGACCTTCTGTCTGTTTTATCTTCACACACGTGTTATTACTGGGCAAGGCTGTAGTTTCTGGGGATAAGTTATGACTTCACTTCATTAACATAAACAAAACTACCCTAACCTTAATTAATCCAAACTTACAGACACAGGGGTCAGCTGCCTCACGGAGTTGCATAGTATACCTCTCAAATGTGGGGGCGATGATGAAGCTTTCCACATCATGAGATACGGTACACACTTTACACCTAATCTACCCCTTTGGGCGAGCTGGCTGGGAAAGCGTAATGATGCAGCGCTTCTTAAGAATTACGTAACTAATCTAACCCCTGAGGAACCGGGCGAAAACTGATTATTGCAACATTTCCTTACAATGTATGAGAGGACGAAGCAATTTCTACCAACAACTGAGTGAGAATAAAGCCTGTCCTAGCCAGGATGGCCAAGGTAGTACTCACCGGTGTCCTTGACTGCTAGACCACCAGTGTGGCGGAGGGTGTAGTCGAGGGCGGCATCCAAGTCGTCCCCATAGAAGAGCCTCACCACCACCACCCAGCGGGAAGTACGCCTCACCACACAGCTGTTTTCCATCACCACTACCACCTTACCACACCTCAGTTACCGCCTCGCCAACTCACGGCGTACGTCACCACCGCTTCCTGAGTCATCACCACATAACTACTGAAGGGTCCACTGAGCCGTGTTTACACATGTTAACTGTGGGAATGTTTTCGTGTAAACCTTGTTCGAGGTTTCGACGCAGTTGTAGCCACAGCCGAGTGAGGCCGCGGCACAGATGATGATACAGCCACTACAGCACCACTAGCAGCAGGTGCAACAGACCCTCGAGATGGTAAATCTACTGGAGGAGCGTCGTGCGGCCGCCACCACCGCTACCACACTAGTGAGCAAGTAACCGCGTGCCGCGTGGTGTGCCAGACACTATTGGCACAGCTGGGGAGCCAACGAGGGTTGTCACCTAGTCAATTACCACTCTCGCAACACTACTTCCATTAACTAGCTATTTTCTATCAATGTTTGTTATAGTAAATGATAAAACGAGGTCATTAATCACGAAGTCAGAAGTAACGGGGTAGACGACACAATAGGCACTGAACATACAACCTCGGTACAAAATGGGGTCAACTCCCTGAGAGACGGACACAACATGTGCTGTGGCTAGTGAGTGCAACATTGGTAAGCATAAGCATTAATTATCGTTATTACAATGACGTTTATTACAATGGCAGGAATGGCAGACCTCCCTGTGATTCAAAGAGTTAACGCCTTCCAAGTACTACCCTAGAGGTCCATTACAACTCTGGGGTATTATCATGAGACTTGCAGCCATGCCATAATTATTTAGGCGGACTTTCAGGCCTAGACAAGTCTTCTGAAAGACTTTCGTTTAGATCGTCGGGTGCTTAAAACACTTTGCAAACTATTGTCTCTATTTCAATAACATTTATAATTATAGTAACATCAATACTGATAGTAAATAGTAATAGAAATGATAGTAATAAAACAATAAAGTAAGTATAACACCATAATAATGATGATAACACTGATAATAATAACCACCACCAACAATAATGGCAGTAATAATAACAATAATTACTTTATCACAGTTGCACGTCACGGACAGTTCAACTGCATGCTGATACAAATTAAATTCTCGTATATAAGCTCAGTCTTGTGACACTATAACGAAGAAGCTGTTAACTCGGAATTCGCCACAACACCACCAACAGTAACACTCCCTCACCCCCCAAGTTCACTCTAAGTGATTATGTCATGTATGATGTTTGAATCATTTACGAAACACATGAAGCAGTTCTTCAAGTTAGAATTCTCGTCAGTTGAGTAAAAATTACATCTCTCCTCCTGATAACTTTTAATATTATCTCTATCTCTACTGTTATCTTTTCTGTTTATATTAATTTATTGCTTAATTTGTTTCCCTAACATACGAGTATATTGTTTGTCACTGTGGTAAATATTACCATGGTCATGAAACAGTCCATATTCATAAAGAATCGTACAATTCCTTTTAATTACAGATATACGAATGTACCAATATTGTAAATTTAAACTTAAAGTATAAAAACGTCAAATCATAATCCAAAATTAAACTTAAAATCTACGTTAAATCGAAACCTTCAGCCAAAATTATGGTAACAAAATATTTTTCAACACTTTACCTTAACTTTACCTGGTTGAGGTTGCTGGTGTAATTGTGATGCTGTTATTATAATTATTTTTGTTAGCTTAAGTCAACCTCTTACGAGGAATATTCAATTATAACAACGAATGAGAATCTGGAAGCAGGCGCAAATGTATTACGAGTTATCGGAGGCGACCACAGAACCCGTGGCTCTACTAGGTTATAAACAGTCATCACCTCGGGCGGGATATTTGTGGCCGGCGTTATATAACCTCACCGACCAACACCTTCCTTAGAGTGAGAGTCGATTATGTTATCCAGGAAGTGGTTGAGGATGTGGGGCCAGAGTCACACAAGTTCCTACGATGAAAAATCCTCGTAAGTGAAGATACTGTATAAGAATACACCTACCTGAACGACTTCAGCTATGAAACAAAATTGAGGTACATAAATATGATTACACTATGATTCCACATAAGTTAGATGCGTTTACTTTGCACCAGTTAGGGGGAAAATTTAAAGTAAGGAATAGTTTTAAAACATCGTCTACCGTAATTTATTTGGTGTAAAGTAAACATATCTATACTGCAGTTAAAGTAGTGTCGGCGTAATTTTAGCTTAACCGGTTAAGTGCACTATTACTTCTTTGGTTACTAGGAAACTTAATTTAACGGTAAGTCTCCCCTACAACACTCCTATGGCCAATACTGGAGGAGTAAGTGCCAAAATGTTACATCAGATCAATAATTGTAGTGTTAAAACCCCAATCACTTACATTTATTCATTTTTAATAGTTGCTGTGTACTGTAATAACGGACTAATTGAACGTGCACAAAGAACTTAGTTGTTGAAGTTCAGAAATATGTAAAAACAAGGAACAACCTCCGTTTAGTATTCACTCTCCTTACATCCACCTTCAGTTGTCTGACTCACACTGAGGTACCGTAACTTAACATAAAACAACATTAATAATAATATGGTAACTGTATTTCGGAGTTAACTTCTTATATAACAAAGGTGCAGTACATCGTCCATTTTCGAGCTTATTATAATTACCAATGCTGTTTTCGAATATATTTTGTTTTCATCTTGTTTCCTGTTTCTCCTAAAAGTACGATTTAAACAAGTGGCGACTTGTATGCGCTAGCCCCAAGTTAAGCACGCGATGTGTTCCCGAACCTCAACCTCTTGTTAAAAAGTGTTTTTTGTCTTCTAGTCGCTCGGGTGTGTGTGGGGGGGGGGGATTATAATGCCGCTGCCAAATTTCCAAACTTCAAGAATATTTGTCTACTGTAAAAAAAAATATGTAGTTCACTAAGACAGACCACTGACACGATACCCTAATATAATTTCGATACATCCATTCCAGTGATATAACAATAAAGGACGCATATATTTCTCTATATAAACTAAAAATGTACTGAAACCTCACAAAACGTTAGTCCTATGGTGAACATTAAATCGATAACATTTTCCTTCCACTGTGTGGAAAAGATAAACGAAACATGTAATAAAGCTCAAAAATTAGAATATGATTTAACTGTCGGGGATACGTAATTTACAATTAGTTTTAACTTAATGTTAATGTACGTTTGAAAATCTACAATATTTTGACGTATCCATTTAACAGTAGCAAGCTCCACTGGCTATCATGTTCATTATCTTCTAAAAAAATCATAAGGGATTTTGAGAGTATGTTGTAATATACACTATAGATAACAGGTATCCCTTACCGGAACAGTGGCATCTGATTGACTGATTCGCTTTCCTTGAGACGAGGCGCAATCAAAACAAGCCTCACGAGATTTTTTTTCTCTAGTACACCAATCATTTTGCCTTGCCACTCGCACTCAATGGTTAGCAAACCATACGCCGTTGTTCCACTAATGGATCCTTATTGTTTGCGTAGACAACCACGGGACCAAATTATAGCCCAGCTTCCTTAAGCCATTTTACTTAAAACGCCGCAGAGGAACAAGACACGTAGAAGAAATTTATATCATAAATTTAAATTTTTCATGACTAGTGTAGTTACTAATCAAGTAATATGTTTAAAGACATTAGTTGTTGAAGCACAGCAATTACATTATAGAATCAGCGTCAAGAGACAAAACCACGCACAGCAGATTACCTGACCAATCACACGTTCAAACAGACGGAGAAAGATTTAACGACAGCATACCAACAAGTTATTACCAACGCAGTAGTGTAAACTTTCCGTTCTGTTATTAACATTCTGAGACTACAAGCCTAACATTACGTGCGGTTTGTCGCTGGTTGACGAGCACACTGCCAAGCTTATGACGTACAGGATGACACGCGCCAATATGGCAAAACTATAAATATGAATCTTCCCCTCCCACGCCACTAAACTAGGGTCCCCTCACGCCACAAGGGGGGCACGTGATGCACATCTCACGCCCATGTACACATACCAGTGTCCCCGTCTCACTCTTGCCTCATAAGAAACACGTGCAGGCGCTCACACTCCACCTACAGTATATACTTACTGTACAGTACATCAATCCATCCGAGTACAGTCCTCATCTGAGGGATGGCAGCCAAATAACTAAAATTAAGCAGTTGTCTTTCCGCCTGTGATAAGCCGCGGGGCGTGATTTTCATACACAATAGTAAAAGGGTCATTGTCAAAGGCAAATTTAAATTATCATAAGTTTACTCTCAGTGAAACTTAGCAAACCCAGGCACGTTGAGGCTATCAGACATTTGGCCACACGTTGTTTATAAAGGCTCAGGTGTTCAGGCCCTCAGGGGTTGTTGACTGAGTACGTTCCAATGATCCATCCCGCTTGCATCAAAGGCTTTCTGATCAAGCACTTTTATTGTAATACCATGTACAGTTATTTTATTCTTCAACATTCTGTATAATGTAAAGGAGTTTTGCGTTGAAATATATTACTGATTAATGTTAATAAGATACATTACTTGTTTAATAAAACACATTCTGTTGTTTTCCTGATTATTTTTACTCTAAGTTAGGTTAGCTAAGAACAGTGGACTGATGACGACCCTTAAAACAAAAAAACCTTACAAGAAGTTAGTTTTAGTCACAAAGTATGTTTCGTCGTAATTTAGTTCTCTGATTTTTAAGCCCATAAACTAATTCAACGTATACAGTACACTAGTGTATACGTTGAATTAGTTTATGGGCTTAAAGACTACTGAAGACTATTAAAATTACAGAATTCTGTTGTGGTATATTCAGTAATATATAAAGAACATTTGTATTGTAGCTGCCATTCTCCAGACGGTGGGATATACAACCCTCACCTGAAACTAATATTTACAGAACACAAAATTCCACTAACCAAAATGGAGGAGTAACTTGATCTCGTCGTTTGGAAGATGTGCGAACCCCTGAAGCCTTACCAGACTCGTGTGGGGGACCAAGCTCGTAATTAGCGGCTAGGGAACTGATTATCCACTCTTCGCTAGGCTTTTATGTCTGGTTCTCGCATTGCTTTACCGTACCAAACTTAAGGCCGTTATTTGTTCATTGCGTGTTTGTTTCAACCTAATTCAACCTAAGATAAGAAGAGTCGGCGACACATTTTTCCTTAAGTTTTCGAATTTCAGTGCTGGCAAGTTGGTTGAGTTTTTGTATCAAGTGGTATGACGAAATACGAGTGATATTCAATTGCGTATAACAGTCAATTTGTCGTATCTTTTCATTCATAAACAAAATATTTGCAGATCTGCAAACGACTTCTTTCTGTTAGAACCAACCGCAATCCTGCAAACTGTGTAACAGTCCTGCATATATTCATTAACACTAACCAGATATTCCTATATATCTCATTTTTTTAATGTTGGCAATTAGGGTATTTACTAGTAATTTTGAACGCGCGCTTAATACCGCCCACCTTAAGTTGTACGTACTGCACTGTACAGTACATACACATGACAGGGGCGGATCCAGGAATATCAAAAGGGAGGGGTCCAAGAAGATTTTTTTTATAATCTAGCCAATATCATGGACATTTTTAGGCCATTTTGAAGCCATCTGCACGTGATATTAGGAGATATTCTGAGGTCCATAGTAACTACCTTTTACTTTACAAAAACGCCTGAGTACAATACTGCATTAAAGAAAAAAATATTGGAATATTCTGATGAAAAGGGGGAGGAGGGGGTCCGGACCTCCTTGGATGACTACATCTTCTAATGAGTTTTCCGTCCCCTGGGCCTATTCAATTAAAATGAAAAGTGTATCCTAAGATAGCGGAATCCTTACGCTGGAGCGTCTCAGATTAAGCTAGAGTTAGGGAAGTTTTTAACATGTTCAGAGAATATCTACGGTAACACATTTAAACTGTGCATTAATATATGTTGCAGTACAGTATAATTTAAAAAAATACCTTAATTTATGGTAATATGAACGTAATTAAATGAAAGTGTGGTTGAATACTGCACAACACATATATTCTACAAGTAAACGCTAAGGAGTCATATACAGGTGGACTCCGCAACACGGCATACACGTGGAGTACAAAGACCGTCAGTGGACATGGTCACTTGAGCACAACACGGGCCACAAGTCCAGTACTATTCACATGGCATTTGTAAACTTCTACTCACAAAACAATAGCTTTGAACATTGCAGTTCACAACACAGTCAGTTATCCATTGCAGCTCACATGACACAATCAGCTGAACAGTACAGCTCACAAGTGAATACAGTCACCTGTACACTATGGAACACCACCACTGAAAACCGTATGTCGAGTTGCCTGTTCACGGAATATTCGTACGTTTACTAATCCTATATAATTAATTCACTTATTGCCTGCATACTTTTTAATGTATGCAATAAGGTCCAAATGGTTACACGTATCAAGTGTGAAAGTATAGAGTTAGGATATCCAAGGAAAATATTGGTTTTTAAAGGCATATATTTTTCCTATTTGTTAATCAACCAGCGAGGGACTATACTTCCGCCAACGGTCGGTGTTCCTCACATTAAGCTGACCTTTGGTTTGGCGACTGCCTCCTCCCCCCCCCCCCCTAACAAATACAGCATTTTTTCCTCGTGCCTAATTTAACAATAAACAGAAAAATCTGTGATTAACGATAAACCGTTTTGTCTGATTTATTTGGATGGCCAACACGTCTTTTTAGTGATACCATGTGATGTCATTAAACACTTCTATTAACAATTGGATGATAGGTTATACTGGCAATATTTATATATTTCGTATAAGTTAATAAAACCTTAAAATATAACCTATTGATTGTATACTGTGGTTGAAGTCACGATGAATAAATTGCTTATTGCTTCTGTATTTGCATTTTTGTTATAGGGGAAAGTAACAGATTGACATTTTCAGATTATATAGTTTTAGTTTAATAAATTTATTGGCAGAGCTTGTAGTTGGTGATCGTTTGAAATTGCTGCTACAATTCTGAATATTTCTAAGCAAACCTTTCTCGGAAATAATGTGTTTATAATAAAGTTCTGCATGGAAGATAAAGTTTCAAATCTCACCCCGCCACATGAGCGGCCATGTGTTCAGATTTTTTTTACACATCTGTTTACAGTAAATACATTAATAAATCATTCATATTGACCTATATGATAAGTTTTGTAAGGAATTTAAAAATTATTATATATATATATATATATATATATATATATATATATATATATATATATATATAATATTAATAATAATAATAATAATAATAATAATAATAATAATAATAATAATAATAATACGAGAAAATTATCATCAACGCACTCAAACAAGATCACGTGTTGTAATGTAAATAAACATCGTTGCCCCAAATCCACGCTCGAACCCTCAAATTCAAAACCCTCTTAAGAGACAGTTGAACTATATATTTTTGAGAAATTTAATTATTTTTCTGGTGCTTTAGCACTTTCTGTAAGTTATTATTATAATTATTTACATTTAAAATAAAAAAATTCGACTGAACTTATTTTGTTTTTACTACACCTAAAGTCCAGTTGAATTTGTATAGTTTCATATGATGTATATAAAGATGATAATAAAAAATTATACAGATATAATATAAAAATAGAAAAGCCAACCTCATTTATATGATTATAATAATATCACTAAGGGGATTGCGTTTCAGGGGTTCGGTGAGTTAACTGATGTAAACAAACTTCTCGCCTAGAATTAACCTCATGACATAACAGTTGTTGATCACTAAGCAATATGTTAAGGACGCAGTTCTGTATTTGCAAATGCTTCTTTACGAATAACATGTTCTTAAAGGATTATAATTTGCATGTAATATACCGTGACAAAGCTCAGTTCATACAAGAATACGCACAGGTATGTGAACTTTTTGAGTGGTTTTACCGTAAAAAATTTCGGTTAATATATAGGACTAATCCGCCGTATCATCTCACGTCCAGAAATGCCTCAAATTTCACCATATAGTAAGTTTTTTCTGTTTAATATACCGAGGAAGTTTGGTAAGGTTAGGTAGGTTAGGTCTGTTCTTCATAACCACAAATGTTAAGTAGCGTTTGTTTTTAAAATATCAAATTTTTAACATATTTCCACAAACTACAACAGTGTCCACTATAATATAACAATGAAAATCTGGCATTTTTATAATTGTTTTCAATCAATTTCGCCCGCGGGTTAGTCCTATATAATTACCGATTTTTTTCTTGTTATTTTTTTTTATGAAAAGTAAAGGTTTAGACCCAGGACAGGCGTTTTTGTGTGTGTTTGTGGAGAGGTGGGGGGGAGGGGGCAATATTGTACCTGGTTGGCAATTCAGTACAATTCTTTAGTTAGATAAAGGTAGGTATTGAGGTCGCCATCCTATCAATGGTTTGACCAAATTTGTATTTTAGGCTCACATGCTTAACGCCTTCTCTTCAGGGACGCCACTTTTAATATTGAATTTGGCTAATGCCACACAGTTTGGTATTATTTCACTTGTCGCCACTAAACGAATCTCGGGAATTGTATAGTTCCAATCAGTAATTTTGACAATTCTAAGACACTTTTCTTCAATGGCATTTCTGGCGCTAATTATGTATACGCGAGGTATTTTAACATTATATTACATATGTTCATACGTGGTGGTACACACCCAGAACATCGAATGACTGTGGAGCCCTCCCGGTTAGGTTAGATTCAAAACTTTTTTCCGATATTTGGGTAAAATTTTTCTTTAGGACATGAGTCTTTAGGGGTTGACCAATATGTTTTTTCAGTTTATTTTAGTGTGTTTTAAACGAATCTGACCATTTTGAGCGGAAATTGCTCGTTTTTGCCCCTCCTCCCCCAACAATAACGAAGGAGAGCCTGGGAAATCGGGGTTTTTGAGTGGGGGGGTAAAACAATAATGAATCGTCTAACCTAACCTAACCCCTAGCCGGGAGCTCTGCCTTCGGACCCCCGGTAGGCCTAGCTTAAACTAAACTAAATGTTTCAGTAGTGAAAAAATTTGGGGCGTGCCATGTCCAAAAGTTGGAAGTGGAAGGACCAGGGATATGTAAGAATTGGATAGAATGGTCGTCTTTCTCGTAAAACTCAGCAATAAACTTAAAATAATCGTAGGAGCACAAATGACAACCAACCTCCATGGCCATTGGCAGACTGGTCAATGAAATTACCGAGGCTTCATCCTTTGAAAAAAATCAAATGTGATTGGTCGAAAAAAATCAAATGTGATTGGTCGAAAAAAATTTGCATGATGATATCAGTAACATCTCCTCACAGACGAAGGCTGAAAACTACGTAAAATGAATTAATTCAATTGTGTCACTATTATCCATATATATATATATATATATATATATATATATATATATATATATATATATATATATATATATATATATATATATATATATATATATATATATATATATATATATATATATATATATACGCTTCAAAATGCTCAGAATAGCGAAATCTAAATGTTTCAGTAGTTTATAACTTTGAGGCACGCTATGTCCTAAAGTAAAATAATGCCGATTTTTTACCATGATTTTATAGCAAATTTCTAGATTCTGAGATGGGAAGGGGGCTTATCTCAGAAACTATTAATTTGCACCAGAAATGAAGGTCAAATTCGTCCATAAAACATAAAAAAAGAAATAGTTTCAACTTCAGAGGAGACTATACAATGAGTTAATAGTGATTGGTAATCTTGTATATTTTTTAACTCTATATTTGCCCAATTGTCAGTTAGGTAGGGTTTTTTAACAACACTGGAAGGAGTTGATAGAATTGAATGAAACTTTGTGGAAACATTAATTACAATCTATTAAATAGATAAATGGAAACGAAAATCCATTTAGTGTGGATAGGTTTTAAAGGGTGTTTCTCGTAAGTTAGGCTGGGATCGGTTTGTTAGGTCAAGTTCTAATAGGTTTGAGCATTTTCGCTTCCATTTATCTATTTAATACCCTATAGATTGTAAATAACATTTCCACAAATGTCATCCAATTCTATCAACTTCTGGTGTTCTAAAAAAAATAAATAAAACTACCTAACCGACAATCGAACAAATTTTTAATGGGCATAAAATTTAATGACATAAAATTATGCTTGCCTTTTTCTATATTCAATAAGACTGGGAACTTTCCAAAGTACCAGATGCTACTACATTACTGTATATAATTTGTGTTCATAAAACGAACCTAACTAACCTACGTAACCTAATTGAACCTAGGTAGGTAGTATTATGTTTAAATGAAGCTTATGTTAAGGTAGGTAAGGTTAGGAAAGTTAATTTAGTTCATTTTATGAATGATAGATTATATAATATAGAAGTACAATATTTGATAATGTACTTTGGATAGTTCCCTCTCTCGCTGAATGTCAATTAAAGCACTCTTGATTTTACAGCAGTTAATTAGAAGATTACTATACTTATGGTTTTTCCTTGACATATTCAATAAAACATACATTTCATTAAATACAAAGACAATCTAGTGATAACTAAATAAAACTGGGTAATGACTTGGAAATTGTCTACCACAAAAACTTCTAAAAAGTATAGGTTTTTCTAGTGTATTTTATGGTCTTTAATGGAACCTGGCCTTCATTTCTGTTTTAAATGAGCCATTATGGAGATATGCTCCCCCCCCAACAACAATTTTTGTTCATACAAAGTGCACAGGGCTTTGAAATAGAGGGAAACGGGCAAAATTGTTGGGGAAAAAAAATGACAAAATCCTCCAAAATCCTACCTTAATTATATCAAATGCTGCAGGATAAAGTGATGCTACTTGTAGGTTCTTTATCCAACTGAGTATCCTTAAATGCAGAAACGCTGAAGCCACAATATGGAGATTTTGGGGGTAACTTATTCGGAGTGAGAGTTGTGAACTCTTGAAATATTCTGCCAGAGAGCGTTGTGACGGTACTGAGTGTGAGCTGTTTCAAAAGCAGACTTGACCAACACTGGAGCAGGTTCAAATGCATTCAGGAGCCGGTGCATGCCCAGTACTTGCCAACAGTGCGTAACAAAGACGTGACCGATCACCCAAGCAGCTAACGAGCTGATCAGTGGTGAAGAGGATTAATGTTAAGTACTCTAAGTAAAAACAGGTGCATTTTCCAGTAATTCCGAGAAAATTTTTCCGGTACCCGAAAAATTCCGGGGATGAGAGAATTTTTTCCTGTTTTGAGAGAGTCATTTCATTACCCCGAAATCTCTCATTCCTGAAGCGTTTTGCACTGATTATTGTTTTGACTCAAAGATATCACTGCTGTTTATACTTGTTTTTTGTTTTTATTCTTTTTAGACATTTTTTTTGCATAAGTGTTCACCTATGCCAGATTACTTTTATAAAAAAGGTGCCTTTCCCATTAAAAGATCTGAGATTACTTTAAATTACTTGATTTTAATGATTGCATGTACTGTATTGTACTGTACTGTATGTTATATTTTTGGGCTTTGCTAAACTATTCCATTATAGATTGTATTTTTGCTACTGCTTCAGATTCTTATACAGTATGACTCTGTGGTATCAAAGGTATAAGTGAATTTATTGTTTTTGACAGGTTCTGCAGTCTAAAGGATGCCAAGACCCTGAGAGTATCATCCCCAAGGTTAGTGCTCTATAGGATTTTGTTTTTAATACTAAATTGTAAACATATTTCTCTGTTCAGCTATCTATCTACTGGTGTTACTCTCTCTCTGCCACTAAATAAGAAGAAAGGTGGTAATGAAATTTTGTAGGACACTAAACTAGATTTATAGAAAAACTTGTGTTAATAATAGTAATAGCTGGTCTTTTGTTTCTCAAAAGCACCAGTTCTTCTAAAGAATTCACGAGTGCTTGAAACACTACAAAGTCAAGGACCTGAGAATAAAAAGAAATACTTTGTACTACAAAAAAAAAATACAAAAAGTGACAGTTCATCTTGTATTATCCATATACTGTATCCTTAAGTTGTACACTATAATTATTCAGACATCTAGACGGTCCGTCCTTAGTAACGATCTTCAAGAGTGAAGTGCTTCCCCATCTGGAGTACTGTCACCCCGTCTGGTCCCCGAGATATGCTAGGGACTGTCAGTTGGTTGAAAATGTTCAAAGGAGGGCCACCAGACTGGTACCTGCACTTCGGTACCTCAACTACCCTGAGAGATTGGAGCGCCTGAACTTGCCTAGCTTATACTACAGACGGGCAAGGGGTGACTTAATTGAGGTATATAATCATCTCAAGGGGCACTACTCAGTCGAGTGTCCTTACCTGGAGCTGGCTGACGCTCGCCCCACAAGGGGTCACAGCTCAAGTTTGAAGAAGTCACAAGCCCAGAAAACTGTAAGGGGTAACTTTTTCGGAGTGAGAGTTGTGAACTATTGGAATAATCTGCCAGAAAGTGTTGTGATGGCACCAAGTGTGAGCTCTTTCAAGACCAGACTTGACAAGCACTGGAGCAGGTTCCAATACATTCAGGAGCCAGTGCATGCTCAGTACTTGCCAACAGTGCGTAACAGAGACGTGACAAATCACCCAAGTGTCTAACGAGCTGATCAGTGGTGAAGAGGATAAAAATAAAAAAGTAAAAAACAAAGGTCTAAAATTGTTTCTTAAATTAAAGGCCTCCAAAGAAGTTAGTTGCTTCATTGATGCAGGCAACCAATGTACAATCTGGGTGCTGTATAGGAAAAGGATCAGGCAGCAAAAGAACATTCCCGTAACGCTCTAGGCTCCTCAAGGTGTGAAGGATCATCACTACAATGTGAAATAATTTTGGAATGTGTGGTCAGTGTATTTAATAGATTGGCCAGATACTTTGGTTCACCAAATATAAGTGTCTTTAAAAGTCATTAGACAGTTTGAACTCTGTCCTAGCTTTATTGGAAGCCAATACAGTACAATGGGTTAGTAGGAGTCCTCAGTGAGAGAGCAAAAATAAGCCTGGCAACCCTGTTCAACACTGTCTGAATTTTCTTTGGTAAATTATTAGGTAGGCAGACCCATAAACTGTTACAATGGTCAAGCAGACAAAATAAATGAATGTACCTGTAATAGTGTCACAAGACACAGTCTACCCAAAAACTCTTTCACAACATGCTGTACAGTAAAGTATAGATTTAGAATATGAAAGTTGCAATACTTAACCACTGAATTGGTTATGTTCTTTAAAATTCAGTTTTGAGTTAAAGTACACTCCAAGATTATGATGAACAGAATTGACAGGACTGGGTTTAAAGAGCCAAAATCATCTGTGCTGTCACCCCACCCTTTTCCTTGGATAACAATAATCTTCAATTTGCCATCATTCAAATTAATTTTTTTCCTAGCCATCAAGGATTTCATTATCCTCAATATCCTTGACATTTATAATTTTCACATAAAGATGTGTTTCATTGGCATATAAATGGTATGCAACAACATGAGCATCGAGCTTAGATGTAAGACTGCTGGTATAGACTGTAAACAGAATTGGTTCCAAAACTGATTCCTGTAGGACTCCAAACTGCAAAGAGACAGGGTCTGAAATGGTTCCACCAACCATCACACATTGAGATCACTCTGACAAAAAAGACTCAAGCAGTGAGAGTGCATCATCACGGACACCAAACAACCAAAGATCCTAAAGTAAAAGATGATGAGCCACAGTGTCAAAGGATGCAGAGAGAGTGAGCAAGACCAGGAGGAAGGACTTTCTTGTGCAAGTGTTTATTACCAAATCATTATGAATTCTACATAAGGCAGTTTCAGTTGAATGGTGGGGGAGCTGGTGGTAGAGCGGTACCATTCTTGCCTCGCAAGCAAGATGTCACGGGTTCGATTCCCGGGCCGGCGGAAGTTGTTTGGACACTCTTCCTAGTTCCCTTGGTCCCTGTTCACCTAGCAGCAAAGTAGGTACCTGCTGTAAATCGGAAGTAGCGATTTCATATTCAGGGACAAGTTGTTGGAGCTTCCAATAACTTTCTTAGACATAAACCATTGACTCTTCAGGATTCTATGCCCTTAACTCATGAGACATAAGGCAAGCATGAACTTAGCATGCTTCCCTGTTGGGCGCTGTAAACGCTTCTGCGCTTCACCTTACACAAGGATGTAGGGGGGTGCCCAATAAATGGAAAAAAAAAAAGTTGAATGGTGCTTCCTATAGGATGACAGGACAAGAAGGATCATTCCATTTCTCTCTAACAGTGGAAGTAACTGATCTAGCATAGCACACTCTATGATCTTTGATAAGAATGAGAGATTGGAGACCGGGAGGTAATTTGACATACAGTCTGTACTGTATTTTCAGTATCAAGACCAGATTTCTCATAAAAGGGGATGCAATAAAGCCTGTTTCTCAGATGTCACAAAATTATCCTCTGCAAAGCATTAATTTATGATTCTACAAATAAGGTGTGCAGCATGTTTATAAGCAAATGATGCCTTAGATACATTAAGAAGACAAAAAATCTAATTCAAATCCTTGATATAATGCAGAATGTTGTTCACCCTTACAGGACAAAACGATGAAAGAGTGAAGTGTAACTCTATTGAAATTCCACTGAAAATTCCTCCACATTGATGGAATGATTCATAACTGGTCACACTCTTAATGAAGCCTTGTCAAGGAGATGCCCTTCCATATTTTATCACTTTCATACATAATTCCTCACTCTCATGGACTTTAAAAATTTCTCTGCCATACTCCTGGATATCAAACTTTATTTCACTGACCTACTCCAAGACCTCGTATATTCCACTGATATACTCCTAGACCTCTTAGTATATTCCTGACACCCATAGACCTCAAAGTATACATGCTATCCTCTGACAAATTCAAAGTATTATAAGTATTACAGTATAATTATAATAATGATAATAATTAATACTACTAATAATAATATTTATAGAGTAAAGTCGTCATACAGGTTTACAATTGGATAAGCATGTAGATAAACTGTGCAGTTATGCAGTACAGCATATGGTGCATGTAGGCTGTGGGAGTAGTATACAGTTTCCTGTGTGCAGAGACAGTGCAGGTAAACAACAATAGTAAACAGTAAGGCAACTTGACCAAGGATAGCCAACAATGCTGTCAGCTGCTTATTTCTGGAAGGGTCCTTTGCTTAGGCTTATTCTTGGTGTCTAATCAGTAATAATAAGTCTACACGAGTACAGTATTAGTGAAAATTTATTTTATAGAATTCAACAAGCCTTACATTCCTTCTGGACTATCCACTGATATGCTCCTAGACCCACTAACATAATGCCTCAAGGTCTAGGCTCATCCATCTTGTACAGTATTTATATGTAGCCAGCCTATACAGTAATTAAAAGTTTGCAATATGAGCATTTTACATTTTCAGTTGGAAGCTGAATCTCTTCGACGTAGACAGCTTCATGATGAAAGCTGGAAACGTCGCATGCAAGTGGCTAAAGATTACAAGCCTTTACACCCAGAGATATTCACATTGCAGGTTTGTGGGTAAATCTTGTCATTTACGGAGTAGGATTAAGTTTAAGAAAATTTGCCTATACAGTATACGTATCATAAGTTTTGTTTTGGGAAATTTATGAGTAAAATTTAACATTCTTTTTATGCTCTGACTATGGTAAAAAATATTAACTACTGCAAAAAAAATTTAGCTCAAGTCTCACAAACGAAAAATCAATAAATTTATACTGTACAGCATCTGTTTTGTTAATAGTTGTACAATCTCCAACGTATTCGCAAATTGTTTCACACCGTTATACCTCATCAGTACATTTACTGCTCCCCACTCTTACAGGGCTTGAAATTTGCACCTCCCTCATCTTCCCCAGGCAGGGCTTGAGTTGAGGCAGAATGAGCCAATACACTTTTTTTTTTTTTTACTTTTTTTTTTAATAAATCATTCCTGTTGTTAAAATATTCAGGGGAATGAGTTCTAATTGATATTACTTCTCCAATTTTGAAGTCTTTACAAAATTAGGTAATTTTGTGCATAATCTACATAAATATGTTCGAATCGTGTAAGAGGGCTCTGGTAGTAGCGATGAAATAAATAGAAATACTGTTTACTGAACTTAAGAATTTGAACTACAGTACAGTATTGTATCTACTTCAACATGTAAACCAGGTACTGTACAGGGGGCCCCCGGGTTGCAAATGGGTTCTCTTCCTGAGGACATTCTTAGTCGAAAATGTACCCAAGTACATGCCATACTTACAGAACAATGTTTAAAATTCCACTACAGTAAAACCTCGATTAACCGTCGGTTAATAACCGACCACATATGTGGGAAAGGGGTCGACGGATAATCCAAAAGGTCGGTTAATAGTACATAAAGTCTACGGAAATAAAACATACATTTTCAAAGTACCTTTCCCTAACCTACCTCATTTGCCATTCATATTTCAATAGAATTTGCCTTAAAACATTAACCACTTTAGCAAATAAATATGAACCAGCACAGAAACCGTGAATAAAAAATGGAAAAGTCAAAGGACATGTCATCACAAAAATTGTGACCAAGTCCCAGGTTGCTGATCTGACTTTCTGCCTCATTTACACACAATTGCAGAGTCTCAGTTGACAACACAACATACATTCAGGTACATTGTGTCTCACTCCTGATTTTTTTCATTTTGCATCTCTTTATGGTCTTTTATTATTAATATTATTACATTATCCCCCCCAGGCCCCGATGTGGGTCAGTGACCTGTGCCCGGGTGGGCTAATCCCCGTAAAAAAACAATTTTTTTTTTTTTTTTTAGGGGTTCGGGATTGACAGTTAATCCGAAAGTCGGTTAATCGAGGTATTACTGTATATCAAAGCCTAAGTCATTATATACATCTAAAATCACTTAACTTAAGAGAAAAGAAGAAATAGAATGACAAAATATAGTACTGTACACTATAAATGAAAGTAAAAAAATAAGTCATCAGGTAAATAAAATACTATAAATTTAAAGTTTAGCCTCGTTTGTATTGGCAGGCATTCCTAAGTCGGGGACCCCCCTTACAGATTAGCTTTAGCTAGTGTTATACACCATGAAAATCTTTCTTTAATGATGAAAATGGTACATTTCTTACAGCCATCATTCTTGGATGCCAAGTTTCATGAAATAGTCCAACTTGCTCAAGACCCAGAACAAACCTCAGAGGACATCATCAAATATATGAAAAATCACCAGAATCGTATATTTTCCTTTCCTGTTTTCACTACAGAATTTTGTAAACTTTTTCTTGAAGAGATTGTGAATTTTGAGGAGTCTCCACTTCCAAAAGGCCGGCCTAATACCATGAATCAGTATGGGGTATGTACACAGTGATGGAAGTACTTTATGGTACATTTATGACATCACTGATTTTGCTTTTATACTTTTTTATTTAGTTAGTATTTATAAATTCTGTAATTATATAAACATTTAGATGTGGACAAATAAGATTAATACGGATTAATTGCAAAAATCATATACTGTACTCCTTTTTTGTGTACAGGGATAATTAATTTGTTCTTTCAGATTAGCTTAGAGGAACTTGGTTTTGATAGATTTATATCAAGCCTTCGCTCAACATACCTCACCCCCCTCACCACACTTCTCTTCCCAGACTGGGGTGGTGATAGTCTGGACTCCCACAAGTCCTTCATTGTCACATACAAAGAAGGCAAAGATGTGGACCTAACTTACCACTTTGACAATGCAGAGGTAATTTATTTTTCACTAGTACTGTACTGCAAGTGATAGTATTTCCTCAATTGAGCCAAATATATTACTGTATGTTCTATGATGTTATGTGATTCAAGAATGCTTCAAAATCTTTGAAGGTGATCATTTTATACTATAGAATATAGTTCAAATGACAATAAAAAAAACAAAAAGTAGCAAAGAAGATCATTTTCAGTCACTGTTTAATCATATTTTCTGTATATTTGTATACTGTATCATATTATCCATTTACAGTATAATCTATAGTGCTACCCTCCACTCCTCAAAGAAGCTCCCCACTTAGAGGATGACTAATGACCATGTCAGAAGAGCCTCAAAGCTTCCCCCCCACCATGTACGTTGCATTTTATTCCTGTTTCCTCTCATTGTCTCGGTAACATATTGTACCTCCTTTCTCCATCATGGTGTTGGCTGTCTCCCTCTACCTAACATGCATATTGCATTACCCCAGTACACCTTCTATTCTACTTCTCTTTTTTATCTTTCTCACTTGTACAGTGGGAAACAATATGAGAGCATGGACGATAAATTTTGGTATATGAGGGCTGTCACTACTCACACGTGATAGCCACCCCACCCACCCACCCCAAAAAAAAAAAAATGACGGATATCATGGTCATTTTGAGGCAATGTGCACTTGATATTAGGAGAGCTTCTGAGGTCAATCGTAATTACATTTTGCTATACAAAAATGCCTGAATACAAATCTGCATGAAAGAAAAAGTATTGGAATTTTCTGATGAAAAGGAGGGGGAACTCCCCCCAAACTGCCCCTGAGTACTTAGGTATACTGTACAAAACTTTAGTGGCTCTGTAGCTCAGTGATAGAGCAGTTGCCTCAAGAATGGTCATGAGTGGATTTGGAAAATTGTGCTTCTTACTTGTATACACAGAAATAAATAAGTACTGTACATTCTTTGCCAATAAGGGAACAATGCTTTCTTGAAAATACATCTTGCTAAATGGGTGGGATAACCCTCTAGCTGCTGAATTGCCAAATTGGTATGCTAGTAATGTAAATGAATTTAACACTCTTGGGGTTTGTCATACGCAAAATTGTGTATGATATAAATTATCGCTTTATGGTATTCATACGTAAATTTGTGTATGATGTAAAAAAAAATTTTTTAATAATTTTATGTTTTCTTATGAGCTCTAGATATGTAATATGCATATTTGGCAACTATGTAGACATCACTCAAGGTTACCACACCGGTCTCCCTTTTGTGTTTAAAGGACTCAGGATATAACCTTGACCCACATTTCCCATGCATTTTCTTGTGGCTTGTGCTGATTTCTTGTGCATCACAGTGATTTAATTTATATTCGTAAGTGTTGTGAACGTTTTAAACCATGTCTCATGTTGCTGGCGAGGGTCGGGGGAATGTAAAACATGCAAAGAGATTGCATCACATGGTGATAGTGTGGTGTCTTCTGATGCCTTCTACTCGCGTTACATATAGAAATAATTACGTATTTTATTGTGATTACTTTTGTAAAACTGTTTGTAGATAATTTATTTATAATGCTAATGCAACAAATCCCAACTTTTTATTTCAAATATCAAGCTTTTTATGACTCATTATGTACAATTATCTCTCGTGTGGTGCAGTCAAGTGTGGTGAGGTGAGTAACAGGCCAGACCCCGAGCATCTCGCAGGAGAGCATCTATCTTAACCCAAGAGTGTTAAGATATTTGATTAATCAGTTGTTTTTCACTACCACAGATAACTCTGAATGTCTCACTTAACGAAGACTACAGTGATGGAGAGCTTTACTTTGGGCCTATGAGAACTGATGCTTCTTCTACAGTACGTTCAGGCTATTCACACCTGCTAGGTAGAGGACTACTTCATCGTGGTCAACAGCGTCATGGTGCACTGCCAATATCAGAGGGTGTAAGGTAAGAACTATTTCTGTGCTCTTTCTCTCTCTCTTTACATTTTAGCTTCCAATTTATTAGGGAAGTTCTTAAAAGTCTTATTCTAACTCAAGTAACTCATCTATATTTATTTTTTCCTTTGACAGATATAATCTCATAATATGGATGCGATCATCTCAAATCAGAAATGAATTGTGCCCAATGTGTGATGAGAAGCCAACTTTGGTGCCCGTCAAGAATGGGTATGGTGATGGATTTAGTATGAATACAGTGGATGTCTGCTCTACTGTTTAAAGCTAATGGTCTTCCCTAATATATGAATACTGCATGTGTTGCAGCTCCAGCTCACTTTGTTGGGAATCAAATAAGATGGATAGGTAAACTAACATAAGTTTTTGTTAATGTCAGGCTATAAAGGTAATGAAGTGCAATACTTTTACTTTGTGATTTTAATTGGATGGAGGTGCACTGAAAATTAATGTGTCTTCCATAGTTATGAAAGTTTTGGAATCACTTTTTTTCATGGGTTAATGTTTGGTGACTTGCAAGTGTTGAATATGTTACAGTATTCACTTTGACTGAATATGCAATACAATGTGTATGTCAATTCTTACACCTCTTGATGTATGGTACATTATATACAGTATAGTATATTTCAGTTGTACAGGTTATTGGTAAATACCGTATCTTTATTTACTTTTGTATTGCATAATCAGACAGTTCCAAATTCAGGTACTGTATTATATACCATATATTGAGTTAACAATTATTATACAGTAAATTTTCAACTCAATGAACTGGAATGGCATCTCTTAACAGTGATTACTGTACTCTTTATACGGCTTCTTCATCTTTAAACTTTTTCTGTTTACTTAGGGTCACAGAAATGTGTTCTTCTTTGCCACTATAATACTTTTTTCAGTCCTTATGTTAAACTCACTTCCTCTTACATACATGCATACAGTAAACCCTTGGTAATTCGGCATTTGATAACTCAGAATTTCATATAACTGCCATGGATATGGTATTGGAATGTATTAGTATAACTTGGGGAATGCCAAGAGATATAAAATTATCTGGGAAAATCTCAGCATATCTGGCTCTATGCATCTGTGTCACCTAGTATAGTGCTTTATTTTTCACCTTCAGTGCTGGTAAGTGTTACCTTTTTACATTTAGTAATTACATGTACACATATATGGGTCGATAATTTTTTATTGTTGTAATTTTGTTGGAGGGTGAAAGTGCCTCGATAAGTCGGAATTTGGGATAACTCAGCAAGGTCAGAGCCCCATATGTGCCAAGTTATCGAGGTTTTACTGTACTGTACATCATCCTTCAATCACCATATTACTGTTCCTCACACTGCTTTTATATTTATCTATTCTTTCCAAATTTCACAGCTTCATAACATAACTTTTTTTTCTTTTTGTTGCCAAGTGGTTTTTCAGGATACATATAACATGCTGCTGGCTTTGTGAAGAAACACAGATGAGCCAATTAATATCTTGTGGAAGAGAAGCACCATGGATAGATAGATAGAGAATCAATAAAAGTGAATGAAGAGAGAGCCTATGTTTTCCCTTGAATCCAGCTACCCTGCATCATATCAGTACTGTACTGTACACGTAAATTGTTTCCAGGAGTGAAAAATATATGCTGTATTAAGGAGTTATGTTCATATACTGTATGTGTATTCCTGTGATATTGTTTTTGAATGCACAAATATACTACAGTATCGTGAACTAAAATATTTATAACTGAGCCTGTGTTACCAAATTATATACAGCTAGACCCCGACTTACGACGGGGTTAGGGACCCAAATCCAGGTCATAAGTCCGAATGGTCGTAAGTCCGACATAGATAAAAAAAAAAATTTAAATAAAATTTCTACAATGAAATACAGTACAGTAAAAGTAATAAATAATGAGGAATGGATACAGTACAGTGAAAGTAATAAATAATGAGGAATGGATAGTGTGACTGAGCACTTACCTTTAATGTAGTCAGCTGAATGCACATGGGGCCCCCATAATTTTCTAATTATACATGGAGACTACATTAACTGGAAACATTTCGGTATAGAAAATGCGTGTGTCATTTGGGAAAAAAAATTAAAAAAAAAATGGTCACAACTGCGGCGGTCGTAAGTCCCGACAGTCGTAAGTCGAAGCAGTCGTAAGTCGGGGTCTAGCTCTATACAGTAATATAAAAACAGAAAAAAGAGAAATAGAAAATACCAAATATTATATACAATATAAGAAAATAACTCTTACACACATTTTGATTCTTGATCCGGTAGAATGATATAAATACCCCATGCCTCGCCGTGAAGGTCAGACACTGAACTCACTACTCATCAACCAGCCAGCCTTTGCCGTGATAGGACCTCTCTCCAGACCCTTCACCGCCAAAGCTAGCCATTGTCTCAAACTGCTGACTCACTAACCGTCACCTGACGCCACTCGCCACCACTTTAATACTCGGGAAGTTTGCTCCAAACAACTCCTTTTCTGTGTCTCCCCAATGATCAGAAGCAGCCCAGATTAGGTGCTCTGTAACGGCTTCCTGCAGCGGACCTGGGCCACGATCCCACCGGTGTTACCTACACCAGTGGCTATTATTCCTCTCTTCTTCCTTCTTTTTCACTCTGGCCTGGAGACCTGCACCTAAAGGTGTATTTGTCCTAGGGTCCCCCTGTAACTGTTCACCTCCCTCCCAGGAGCTTGTGAACACGAAAGGGGGCAGGAGCAGTACCCATCCCTCCGCTGAGCCTTCCTAGTTAACCGTGATCATGCGGGTCGACCTAGGAAGGAGGTCGCAATCCTGAATCCCCACCCCGACCCTTATTAGGTACACTAGCTCACGTCTGTAAGTGAGCATTCATTAACACTAGGGAAGTAGAGTCCCCTGACGGTGCTTCCAGGAGTCGCGAGAACCACTCAACGACCACTCGACCAACAAGTGGCGGTGGGGGGTTGTTGTAATTCCTGTGACAAACTCCTCTCCTGGAACAGGTAGGTCTCCAACCTCACTCCACGCAACGGTGGCCTGTCCACCACGTACTCTCCGAAATGAGGACCCCTTCATCGCCTTTTGCCTGACTGAGAATGATGTAGACTTACTCCTATCGAGAGAGAGCACAAGACAACTAAAGTCTGCAAAATTTGAAGTTGCAGTCCCTCCACAACTCTGAGCAAGGAAGTCAATTGTAGTCAAACGACTAGATAAAGCTATCACCGAAGAAGCAAGTTAACAGCAATTGGTATCTGACATAGAACATAGAAACCAATGGGCATAGAACATAGAAACCAATGGTCCAAGGTGGAGGAAGTGGTCAAGCTGCCCAGACTGCCATCCATGCTCAAAATAAGATTCACAGAAATAGCCATGGCCCAAAGAGCAATCCAGGACTTTGTCTCTCCTACTACCATGTCAGCAGCAGCCAGGTGGAGCAGGAGGAGTTCTTCCCCCTTACTCCATGCTGGAACTGCTACCAATACTCACACACGGCTACAGACTGCCCTAACAAGGACACTAAGCACTGCTCAGAATGCGGGAACAAGGGGGCACACCTTTAGGGAGTGTAAAAACAAAGATACCCCCAAATGCCTAAACTGTGAAGATCACAGAACCCTGGCTACTCGCTGGCCCATACGAAAAGCAAGAGTTAACCAAAAGAAGGAGAGGGAGAAGACACGGGAACAGCAAAACAAGACATATTCAGCTGTGACAAAATTAACCAGAGAAACGACAAATGTCCTCGAAAAAGTCACCACACCATCCCCCCGCAAAGCAACCTATTTTGCTTCAACTTGAATATAGCCAGACCTGGAACTTTTGCCTAGGCAGCAAGGGACATGTTCGCCGCCAACAACCTGCCAGACATGGAACTCCCAAACGACGTGCCTTCTACCGAAATTTTCATCATATACAAACCAGAGAGCATTGCAAATCAAGAACAGACTATCTCAGACTTACAACCCGACCCAGCAAGCGAGGAGGAAACGTTGGATGACGAAAACGAAGATGAAACCACCACAATAACAGAACAAACCGCCAGATTTAGCACCCCAAAAAAGAATCAAGCAGGAACTATGGCACCACCACCACCTTCACCCAGAAAGACCACGGAGAACGAAGACCTAGGGTTTGAAACTGGTCTACGATTTTTCTCCACTACAGCTCCCCCCATAGTCTCGTCAGAAAGACTGTTGGCAGAAATAAAGCAGGGCAAGATAAAATACACATACTCAGACAAAAACCTAGATGACACACATATTGAAACACTAATCAAAAAAGGAAGAATCATCACAAGACACAACAGAATAGAGAGAGTTGATCAGTCAACATATAAAAAGATCAGCCTGGGCCCGCTGACGGACAGGAGGGGGGCCCCGGACAGGGGAACACCGGTCAGCAAAAATGGCGCAAACCAGCTCTAGGCACCAGCCTTCATAATAAACAAACTTAAAAAAACCAACACAATGTTTTAGCATGGATCTCACAGAGAGCAAGCGAACTATATAACACATACCGTAACATAGAGCCAGATATTATCCTCATAAATTCGCATGGTAAGAACTCAGAAAAATTAAAAATATTTAACTACACAGTCTACCAAAAAACATTCAAGACACAACATGATGGAATTGCCATAGCCACAAAACTAAACATACAACACAAAATACACGACTCATTTCAAGAAAACTTTCTGGCGATCGAAATTAACTGCCCAACAGGACCTATTATAATCGGTACCTGTTACCTCCCTCCGAGAAGACCCTCTTCCCACTAGCAGACATGCTCAAACTGATGAGAAGAAATATACCAGCATATTTTCTGGGTGACCTAAATGCACGACACTGCGTCTTTGGGCACCAGGATAACAATGCCGTAGGGCAGATTTTAAACACATTACTGAGTCACGGCGACGCAATACACCTTGGCCCGGAATTCCCCACATACATCAGAGCAGGTCAAATCGGACATCCAGACATGGTACTAACAAACCAGCATCACCATCTTAACCTGCAAATGGAACCCGGCCCAATAATCACCAGTGACCATCTCCCTATCGTAGCCACACTCTCCACGTCGCCAATACAGATCCCTGCCAGGATAAGATACAGCTACAGCTGGTCCAACTGGGAGGAATTCCAAAAGGAGCTAAACAATCACCAAATCACCAAACTAAACAACAAACACACTTCCCAAATAGACAACACACTAGAGATATGGTACGAAAACGTGAGCCAAGCAATGGAGCACCACATACCCACGACCACTCACCGTACATTACCACACCCTCAATGCTCACATCAATCAAGAATTCTACAGACACAATTCAGTAATTTATTAAAATTAATCATAGAACAAGGATGGACGCCAGAATACAGAAGACAATATTACACCATACACAAACAACTAAGAAACATGTCCAAAGAAGCATACGTGAATAACTGGGAGAAACCAATAACAGACACAGAAGCAATTGACCACAACCCGAAAGAATTCTGGCGGAAAATTAAACACCTAATGGGAATCTCCAGCAACGAATCAAACTACATTCTAAACAGCAACCAAATCAAATTAACTGAACCCAAAGAACAAGAACCTGAATTCAGGAAATATTGGAACAAAATATTTCAAATAAGCCAGGAAGACAACCTGAACTTCTGTATGAACACCGAGCGACAAGTAACCAATCACATGACACACACAACCCACATCTGGCAACCAAGTCCCAGCATAGACATAAACGCTCTGGACGATCTTTCCCCACTGATCAAACCAATCACCGCAGAGGAAATACACAAAACAATAAACAAGAACAAGGCCCCAGGCATCAGTAAAATAAACAAACCCATACTCCAGCATCTACCAATCAACATGATACTCCAACTCAGAAACATTTTTATTGTATCACTTGCCTCTGGTTACTATCCAAGGAAATTTAAAACAGCAAGCATCAGACTTATACCAAAACAAGGTAAATCCCCCACTCAAGTATCAAATTACAGACCAATCTCTCTTCTAGAAACACCGGGAAAAGCCCAAGAAAAAAATCATTAACCACCGACTGAGAATACACCTTGAACTTGAAGAGAAATACAACCCCAGGTCACTACGGAATTAGAAAACGCAGAGGAACCCATACAGCCTTAGCCCTAATTTACAAAAACAGCAAACGCAATGCACAACAGAGATCAGTGTAACGTAGTATTAAGGGACGTAGCAAAAACATTCGACAAGGTCTGGCACTTAGGGCTCAAATACAAAATTACTACCCAAGAACTTCCCAACAACTTAACCTCCTTTCTTTGTAACTTCCTTGACAACAGAGAGGCCAAAATTATCATTGGTAACCACATAGGCCCAAGCATCAAGTTATACAGCGGAGTACTACAGGGAAGTAACCTCTCGCCAACACTGCACTATATACACGGCAGACATGCCACCTCCTACACACGGAGAATACATAGCTTATGCTGATGACGTCACCCAAATCATCCGACATCCAGGCAAGGGCAAACAGATGATGTCACGAAAAACAGCTCACGCC